AGCGCTACGTTAATTGATGCAAATTGATTAGAATCGGAACGAAAGGTCGCCTGGACTTAACGGTGCAACGAATTCGGAATATTCGATAGACGTTTCGTACCCTGTGCATTTAATAACTGTAGACGTTGAGCAATAATGTATTCTCTCGGCGTAGCAGTCAGATTTCTACGTTTTTGTAGTATGAATGGTGCAACGATTACCATATTTTCTCCTAATCAGCGGATAGTTTGGCGTCTTTGACACCTTTCATATTCATTGACTCGAACGCAACACTTTGAATAACATCGATTTGCATGAAACTTAAAGAGGTAGAGAACAGGGGAAGATTAAATTAAGGTCATCGCGTGTCCATCCCCCATCAACTCGATTTTAAACGAAATAATACAATTCAAACTTTCTGTTTCTCAAATAGAGAGAAACTAGTATCACGGCGTAAAAGTGGATGTCAATTTTAATGGTGGGGGGGGAATGACCTTGAGCAGCCAATTGATTTAGTCTATCCTCATCTCCCCACTTTGCGTTTCATGGCACAAACCTGCACGATGACGCACTCCGAGTCTCGAACGAAGACACAAACCACCGTGGCGTAAAAACGGGAGTCTTGACGTCATTCGCGGTGTGGGGGGGACATGACCTTGAACAGCTAATTGATTTAGCCTCCGCTATCGAAAGGAACGTAACAGTATACGTACACGAAGGTCAAATAACAGTATAATTATTTTATGTAAAATCCAATTGATAATCCCTGGTTGACACTTTCACTTTGAAGGAGAAGAAAAATGGTAACAGAGAATGTCCTCTTTGAGATCCAGCAAACTACCGCTAGAAATGTTTTCTTTCCATCTCTAACGATCAAAGCGTTATTCAGATGGCCTGCTTCGAAAGCCCCATCCTGTAGCCTTACTCACTCCTAACTGTACTTTCAATATATCAAACATCCCTGGAAACCACAACACGACCAAGGTGACTTTATTCGATTAAGTCGAGGCAAAAAGGAGTCAGCGCGAAGGTGAGCAAGTTTGGTCTCTCAAACTCTCGCTGTCTCCGGCAATAATCAGTGAAGTTCATTGCTTGCAACCATCTCCCAGGGAAAGCTTCCATATTGGAATTAGTTAAACGTCACAGAAGCCCCGGAGTGGCATTTTCACGATAGCAGGGAACGTTAAGCGGTCATGAATATTTTAACCAAAGCATGTCCACTTCCTGATCAAGACATTCCAATCTGCTCCGGCAACTGCTCCTTCTGAAGTCCAAGCATTAAAATACCATTCAATTATTCCTCGAAAGAATCCTAACCAACATCCTAAAGTGCCATTTTCACGATGCCTCGTATTATCGAATAATCATAAATAATTTGTTATCAATTTTTTAATACGAAGTAGCTCCCCAAAGAGTCTCTTTCGTTGAAACAAAAGTGCTCGTCACGTGCTCGTCATTCAGAGCCTGACGAACCATACATTTTCCGGCCCCGATAAAGCTAGGCGCGCCGAGAATTCCGCGGTCGATCTTCGAGCGTGCCACGAGCATTCGTGATCGAGAAGAGAGACAGAAGAGATTACGGTTATACGCGGGAACGCGCGCGCCGCGAGTAGGTGACAATGACGGTATCGTCATCGAAAACCCACTATAAATATGCGGCGGGGAGCCAAGGGGGACACACGATGGAGGCCGTAGTCCGAGGCGGCAGGAAGCTGCCAAGTATAACGGTATCGGCTGCTCCCTGCCGATGCGCGGAGCCTTCTCTCGTCGCCAGCGATTTCGCATCTTCGATCGCTATAGGCAAGACACCTTAACGCGTTTTGGACCTTCCCTTCTCGCCATTAGTAACGTCAGATTCGAGTTTGGAATATTATAGACTCGAATCAGGTGACAAAGACTCAAATCCTTGGATCAAACAGTACTTGGAGTCATCTAAGTACCCTTCCTCGATGATATGAAGAATATTCAAACGACCTACTAGGTTATAATAGTAATTCTGGGGGTAGATTGAATACTCGTCTCCGAATTATGGTGGCTCGGAACAGGGATTAAGAGTATCGCATAACGCGGATTATACGAGATGCAACGTGATTCGTGACACGGTCGGTTGGCAGGCGATTCTTCGCGGAGAAATATGTTAAGAACGTGGGATAACATTTTCTTGCCAGGGTGTTCGTTTCCGAGGAAAGTGATCTTGAAGATCGTCGAACACACGTCCTGGTTTTCCGTATAGTTACTATTATTATTGCTGTGTCGTAACAAAAGGTGCCTTTCGATAACTTTAGTACACTTCAAACTTAACCTCAAATCTATTGCAAGAGCAATCGACAGTAAAATCATAAAAGAACGAATATTACTATGTTTCTATGCAATTGAAATGCGTTGTATCATTCTAATAAGTATAACGAACATTCCGAGGAGGTTCGTGAATAGCCCGCGGAGGGCGCCACCGCGATGCGCGCGCATACTTAACGTCGTTTCCTTAACGTCCAGAGCCCCTTATGGGAAAAATCGTTCCATCTTGGTTAAGTTCGAGCAAAGAATCATTTCTCGTATACATTACTGGAGCATTGAAACGGAATGTCGGTACTCGATACAGGTTTTTACATCTGTTACGATCGCGCGATAGCTCCGATATTAATCCTAAGTGAAAGCAAAGATTTCTATAAAAAAAAATAACAAGCACACGGGACACGATCAATCATCCGTGAATGCTTGGATCTCGGCGTGGATGCCGATCACATTCGTCGAATGCTAACTCCACCAGACGCGAGAACTTGTTTATGTTCTTTCGTGCCGGTACTAAAAGGGCAAACCCGCGATAGCTGCTCGCGGTTTATTCGAAAACTTAAGTGGAACTACCTTCCCAATAACTTCGAGCGTGGAGATGATTGCCCTAAGGTGGCAAGAAAATGAAACGTTGCATGCTAATAACGCCTTTATGCGAGAACCAAGACGGCTCAGCCTTTAACGGCGGATACTCGTTTTCCGCGGAAAATGAAATTGCGCGTAACCACCGCGATAAATTACTGGGGGAAATTCGTAACGCAACAAAGTGGGCGCAGAGAAGGTAAATTCGTCGTACTTGGGGCACTGTCGATGATTACTCCAAGTACCATCACCTTTATGGCTGTCCCCGTAATAACCTAAGCAAAGTCTCGGGTTTAATTCCAACTATATTCCCAGACTCAAAGAATTCTCTTTCCTCGAGCAACCGAATACGAATACTATAAAAGGAGGCAGGCCATAGACTGTGGGACCATTATATCAGCACTTATGGCCGTGGCCACGTTACTACCGGCACTTTCGATCCCAACGACACGAGCTATTCGCGCAAGAAACTTTCGAAGGCTTCGACCTTTGTACCCCCTGGCAGACGGAGAAACGACTCCTCTCGGTCACCGGTGCTCGTCGGTGAAATAAAAAAAAAAAGTTTCTCAGCGTTGTTCCAGCGTTATTTCTCTCCCTACGGTGTCTTCTCCCGGAAAGACGATCACGCTCGCGGTAACATGGGACGCCGCAGAAGGCAGCCAAGTACCTTAGGCGGTGAAGCGAGCAGAGTCAACGGTACTTCTTGGAACGAAATTACACGTACTCATAGTACGGCGCGTTGATTACATAATCGGCGCGCGTTGCACGAACCATCGGAAGAAAGGTTCAGTACCGATCGTTGTTGCCTGGCTGACGGCCATCTTTGCGGTTGCATTAGATGCCCGAAGAACCCTGGACTGCAACCTCGAAATCTTCGTTACGAGGTTAGGTCTGGGGTAGGTTCTCCTAAAATTGAAACACAACATTTATAATAGGATGCTGTATTCTCATGGAGTATCACTATATTTGCAATGACGTCTGCCACAAAGCATTCAAGGTGCCTTGTCGCAGTAAATTCTTATTATAAAACGATAATACAATCGCGAAGAAGTCTGCGCCAACGTTCCTAGGACACATTAACCCAGCGAAGCGCTAAGCAAATGGCAAAAGCTACCGATCGAGTCGTTAAATATTAAAATCTGTCGTCGATTGCGCAACCATGTCACCTGGAATCTTCGACGCGGGAAGGAACAGAGGTATGTGGCTCCATACAACGTTGCGTGGAAGCAAAAGTACTGAATCGGTGCGGGACACTTTCGAGCCGGTAGAGTACAGGGGATCAGGGGGGGGGAAGGAGCGGAAAGAATGTTACAAATGGGGTCGCAGCCGTTGAAGGTAAACGACTGCGCCCTGCTCCTCTTGGCGAGCTGCCTTCGAACACCGCGGACCGACGGAAAACGCTTGTCCATTCACATTCTCCGAGTGACTAATCCTCACGATCGGAATACTAAGGAAAGGGAACACGAAGCATGTTTTCGCAGCATAAATTCAAATTGGATATGTAAAGATGGAAGAAGTCCAGTCCAGGGATGGCACTAGAGCTTACAAGGCAGTATAGTAACGACGAAGACAAGAGAAATGACTTTGAAAAGACCATATATAGTATATCCCTATTGGGGACTCTACAGGATACTACAGTAGTGTCTCGCTTCTTGCACTAATCTGCGTTCCGGATATTGCAAGGAAATCATTGGGAACTTACAGGACACTATACTGGTTCAGAAACATATACTTCAAAAAGTGAATCTATAGACTATGTTATTGCTAAAACGAACTCATCGTTTATCAAGCATCGTTGTCTCGTTTATAAATATTTCTGCAAATTGAGTAGCCCATACTTTCCGTCAGAGCATAAAGAGCAAGTAAACAAAATTTAATCTAAATTGGACAGAAATGGTAGCAGTTATAGGGGAATCACAAACACACAGACTTTAAATTTTCTGCCATCGATTCAGAATATAGGTTGTGCAGTTCGACAATTTAACAATTTAGGGAAGCATAGAATAATTGTTTCAGTAAAGATATTTTATCTACGTGAATATACACCTTTGTTTAAAAATGGTATTTAAGATCACGAGAGAGAAGGAAGATGCTTAAACGTTGGTCGAAACTAGACTGATGAGTTGTAAATAAACTACGTTTATTTCTATTCACATGTTGTGAGAAATACATTACAGTTTGTAAAATAGGTTACGTCGGAAAATAATATGTAGTGTTACAATCTTATAATAGATGGAATTATCTCTAACAAATGGAGTTTCGATACATTGTAATGTCCCTGATATAAAATCGCTTTCTAAATAAATAATTTCAGAATTACATCGACGTGACTCTGTTATTAATAAATAAGAAATAAATTATGAGATTTTATAAATCACTTAGTCTGTTAAATTAATTCTTATTCCAATTGATCAAACGCAGGTAACGAACGCACGGTGACAGGTTTTATCGGGTTTGATCAAACTTATCAGTGGTACATCGTTATTTAATGTCATCCACAACCAATTGTTTATCTTGACCATGTAGAAATGATCTCGATCTGGGACCATGGGCTCCTCCGTAACTGTAGTGTCATTTTTAACGTCCCCGTTCGTGTATCCCATCGTTTTACACAAGTATGATGATTCTTCTTTCGACATGATCGGGTTTGGGAAACATTCTGAGTGCCATACACCGTAACTTCGTCGAATCACTTCGCCAGATGTAACGCTATAATTGAAAATTATAAATCTCTCGTATAAAAAACGACCAAGGACTTGTTCGACGATGTTTGAATTAATTTTTCATCACTGTACACATTCTATACTACACCCTACAATAGCATCACACTACTTACCTGTCGTTTGCGGATTGTTTTAATCTTCTACACGTTGCCTCGTCCTCGCCATCGATGCAATCCTTGTCCCCATCGCAAACGAAATCTTGAGGAATGCAAGTGTCGTTGCCAATAATTCTGCAGAAAAAATGTCCAATCTTTTAACAAGCTCCATTTCAAACAGGTGAATCTTTGCTTAGATACTAAGAAAGAATATTTGTTTGTTATTGATTCCTCTCGAACTTCGACAAACTTGCTATTGTTTAAAGCTTTTGTAACCTGTTTTGTACTTTGAATTTTATATTTATGGTAACAGAACGTGTTATAATAGCTCTTACGTTCTGCATTTGAATCCTGTGTCTGAGCAGAGACACCTCTCCGGGGATTCGTCAGTTTTGTCTAAACAATGTCGCACACCGTCGCACAGACGCTCAGGTGCAGTCAATTTCAGGTATTCCGCGCACGTGCATATCGCAGGTTCGTCGGATCCGTCGGTGCAATCCATGTTTCCATCGCAGAATGCACTCTTGTCGACGCACATGCCATTTTTACAGCGCAGTTCCGATTTCAAGCAACCTGTACGTTCACAACACAATCGAACACTATTTTCTCGTTTCTCGGTGTTTGTATATGATTATCAACAAGAGTAATCGCGTTTGTGCGTGTTTATAATCGTAATATTTTATAGAGATACTAACTGCAACCCTCTACGATGTTTTCGCAATTTTCACGAACTCGATTGCAATAATTTGGATCCTCGTCCGCCTGATCTCGACAATCCGGAACACCGTCGCAAACACGATCCTGCGGAATGCATTGGCCAACGTTGCACCGGAAACCATGGCAAGGAGCTTCGATGGACACTCTCGAGTCATCTGGATCAATAATTTTCATTTAGAAAAAACATTTGTTTGGAATATCTTTCAATCGATCGTTAGTTTACCCATAGCTTTCGTCAGATAAGGATTTATATGATCGATCCCCAGTAATTTTTGCGTCTCCTGGAAGCTGCAGGGACCGCCTTTGTCCTGAAACGTAGCCGCAGGATACCATCCTTTCTTGCCACGACAGAATACCGTTCCACTCCATTCAGATGTCTCATTCTTCTAAAAAGCATCAGAAATTAATTTTCTCTGTTGTATGATGATCTTCTAAATAACAATTACCGAACATTCGGCCATCGATGACGTAACGAAGCATCGATGGCAGCTCTGACAGTCTTGCAAAACTGTCTGCAAGAAGATGGACTTTGTCTCGTGATCCTCATTCGTTCCAACGGCCACGCAAGTGTCTTTCGTCCCTGGTAGATACACCCTGCGATAAAGATAATTAGCAATTCCATGGACCAATTAAATATCAGTGAGACAGCAGTCTAGATATACTCACGTCCTTTCAAGAAACAGCGGACGCACATGACGAGTGAAATGCACCTGATCTTTCAGATGCAACAGAACAGAATCCGACTTGTTTACAGGCTGCACGTCATCGATGATCGATACCTGTTGATGAGGACCATCCACGTAGCGGAACAGTCGACCATAACCGACCAATGCTGTCGTATAGTTCGTATCCAACCTGAGAACACTTGAAATCTCAATCACTGCATCCGACGAGTCGAAAATTGATGGAACATCGACTAAAAAGAGTCTGATTGGGCGTTACAAAGAGTTCACAAATGTATTAACCCGTTGACGACCGCTGTCACGTATACGTGACTTCACAGGACAACACAGAAGAAAAAGTGTTCCACTTGCCTGACATTTTCGATACATTTCGCAGCAGTCAATAGCCAGTTCCTGTCCAATAAAATCGCGGAGCAACGATACTCCCCGTCGATGAAAATGGCGGCCAGCCACGGCCATAGGTAGTCACGACTGCCAGTTTCAGCGTCGACTGTCACCAGCGTGTTCACGCTGCCGCTCAGAACCGGTCTGCAGCGAACGTGAATCCCGGGGCACGTTTCAGTATCGTCGTCCAGAGAGGCCGCTGATGGAACCTCCTGGAGCGTGGCGTTCGCCTTGTTCCAGGGTATCGTCTCCAGTATGGAATTCGTCACGATGACTGACTCCGACGATTGCAGATTCCTTTGTGGAAGAAACAGGTTTCTAATGATTCTTTTTGTCGTGGAGATCGGTAAACGATCCTCGCTTTTGTCCCTTCCACGGGAATAATTCAATAACACACGCAAGAAAAGTGTATTGAGGCGTCTGTTCTACAGATCCAGACAGTTTCTTATGCGGATGGTTGTCGATATGTCCAAAACCAGTCGATGTGCAATTTAAATTCGTATACTATTTGGTCTCCCAGGTTCTTGGCTAAGATCTAGTAGCCTATACCATAAGATAGGGGTTGGCTATTTTAAGGAAATAGTGATTAACTCTCCCCAAGAAGAAGATTCAAAGTGTCACGTAATAAAATGCACATCACTGGATAGGCTACTTCATTCAAATACAATATTTAAAAGAACACAATTAGCAAGAGGACCATGATCAGAACTCTTTAAGTCCTTCATCAACCATCCTATGGACTCTGGGAACAACAAGTCCTCCAGTTGCAAACCAAACAAGATACCACATAAATGAACTTACGCAAATCCAAAATACTCGCACATGTTTTGACCGATAAGCGTGATCGTGGATTGATTGTGATGTATCTTAGGTCGATGACACGTAACCTGCCATTTGCCATCGACGTATCGAGTCAGAACACCTTCCATGTTCAAAGATGGCCGCTGATCCGCGTCCAAGTACACGCGTCGACCATCAGTCAGCGTAACTGCAAACAGAGTCAAACCAGATCAAACATTTGGTTTGCACAAACTCAAACATTATCTCCATCGACTATTCTAAGATCGAACTCGAGGAAAGATGCTCACAGCAGTCCAGTTCGTCCTCGTTCCGTTCACAGTCGAACTGTTCATCGCACTTCTTGGAAATTGGAATGCAAGACTTGCTGCTTCTACAGAAGAACTCGCTCTCGGAACAAATCCCTGTAAAATAAGCAACGATGAGTATTTAACCTACTGGAAGGAAGAAGAAATTGAAATTATTATTTACTGCAATCCTCCTCGTCCGTTCCGTCGTCGCAGTCTGTGTACCCGTCGCATATGGCAGTTGGTTTGATGTTCATCAAGTACTCTTTGCAAGTACAGTTAATCTCATCGGTGCTGTCCTCGCAATCGATCACTCTGTCGCATCGTTTGTCCATCGAGATACTCTGAAGCATGCTGTTAATTTTGGGATTATAAGAACGACCCTTGCGATCTTCGATAACAATTTTTACCTTCTGCATGAAAATGTTGTTGGAACGTTTACTACTACTGTGGTTGATAACGAATCGGTAGTACTATCGTTGGGAGTGTACGTCGTTGCGGTAGGATTATTGAGATCCTCGGTGCGTCCTTGCGGGGGCGTCCATTGATCAGTGGTGTACAGGAGTTCGACGTCTGAAATAAAAATTGAGCTAAGAAGTGAGAAAATACTCAGTGATTATTCTGGAATTTTTTCGAGGCCTACCGGGTTGTCCAAACGTCTTAGACTTCTCGTTTTCGGGTGTCACCGAACCAGGATCAGAAGGCGAAACGTTAGGATCCTCCATTTGTCTGTATACAGGATTGTTCAGATGACCAGAGCAATAGAGTTCGTCCTCCCCGTCCAAACAATCCACCATTCTATTGCAACGAGCTTCGATGGGGAAACATTTGCCTAACCCTCTCTCGCAACTGAACCCTGGACACTTTTCCAAAGGAGTTCGTTTCATGGGAGGAACTCCTTCGCCTCCTGAACATCAGAGAAGAGTAATTTGAGGATTATCAGTTGATCTGTTATGTTGGCTAAAGAATTCCTAATGATCCTAAAGATTCTGGAGATCCTAGAGGCTCTACAATAGGGATTCTACATGGTTTACCAGCCCTAGTGAACCTAGGTCTTCCAATAGTCTCCATTCTAGCACCTAATAGCGATAATCAAGCGTCTAATATGGAATTGGAGCATAGACTGGTGCAAACACCTAAGACTCTACCCTGACGGCTGATGATTTTTACCTATGGAACTAGTAGAGTTATCAAGGTGATCAATATCAAAATAGTACGTGGCCAAAAAATAAGATAAAACTCACTGAAAATCTCTCGGATCCACTCCAAAAAGTAACTGACTTTCGTGTAGGTACCAGGTTCGTCTGGTCGACCACAACCTTCTCCATGACTAACTATGCCAGCTACGTACCATTGCGATTCCGAATACGGATTTCTGCAAATTATATGCACAGTGTTCGCGTCATTACTAGCAAGCTCGAAAGAAGGAACAGTTGTGACAACAAATATTAATTCTAATCAAGAATAACTTGAAGAACTTTGAAATAACGTTGATCAATGCGTACTTGCACATTAGAGGACCACCACTGTCACCCTGACAGGCATCGCGACCACCTTGGAGATAGCCCGCGCAAATAGCAGCGTCGCTTTTATCGATCTCGTACTTGCACTTCTCCAGTATTGGCACCTCGACTTCTCTCAAGTGGTCAGCTGCAAACGATCATGAGATTTGGGTGCTTATATAATAAGGGTATGCATGCAGAGACTCAGAAAGTGTCTTACAGTCTGGTCCATGCTCCGTAGTAGCTCCCCAGCCGAGAGCAACGCAGGTGGACTTGGGCTCCGGCATGTTCCTCCACATGGGGCCCAAAATGTCTACTTCCGGCAAGCAAACGGGTCGCACCCATCGATTGAAACGCAGTGGTTCGTCCAGCATGATCATTCCAATGTCGTTTCTCATGTTCTCGCTATTATAGTGAGGGTGCACTATAGCGTACCTCGCCTTTCTGGACTGCGCCATTGGGGAGAACGACAGTCTTCGAAGCAGTCCAGCTTCGATTTCGAAATAGTGGCCAATGTACCTATGGTTTGGCAAGAATTTATTAAGGGATGAAATTGGATACTATAAATTCGTCCTGGGCCTGCTAGTGGACTCATCGATAAGACAATTCGAAAGGGTCGCTCGAGCACTTGCGAGAGAGAGACAAGAACGTAGCCCTCTGGTGACGAGTACGAGAGGTGTCGCCACTGTGTAATTCTGAATTCTCACCTGTCGATGCAGTGTGCTGCAGTTAGAATCCACAGTTCGTTCAAGATGGTGCCCCCACAGTAGAAATCACCGTCTCTGTAAATGGCCACCAGGAATGGCCAAGCTTTCGGTTGACTGGCGCGTCCGCCAACGACTCGCAATTGCGAGCCAACGATGTCGTTCTCTTCTACAGTGTCATTATTGTTTTCCTTCGTTTGAGAGTCAACGCTACCTCGGAAGAGCAGTTGCTTGATCGGATCCAAGGCATTCTGACTCCTGTTCTCGGGAACGAGGGATTGAAAATAGTCCTGTTCCGAAAAAATTCTGGTCCCGCACAGTAGTCCTGAACACCGGCCGTAGACTGCAGTATTCGCGTTTGACGGAATTAGCTTCACTTCCTCGCCCTCCGCCGATATGTACGGACCCTCGTACGTGTTCTCCGGTATGGAGTGAATATTTATCTCTGGCATCTCGCTGCAATATGAATTTTAACGAGGTTTTCGATAACAGGTTATTTTTTTAAAAGCCTTTGAAATGTAATTACGTCATTTTTGGGCCAATTTCTGAGATACAGGCATCCCTGACCCAAGATGCGGCTGCTGAGCTGACAGGGTACCACTGGCCCTTGAAGTTCTTGTGAAGATATCCCTCGGTATAGCCCACCGTAAACACCTGATAATTATACGTCGACTCGATAACGGGAATAGTTCTCAATATGTCTATAAAAAATAGTACTTTGCTCACATTGTTCCCCTCGATATACGTGGGCGTGAGTATGTTGCAATCCATCTCATCTTTTCCATTCGCACACTGCTTAACACCGTCGCATCGTTGAGAAAGTGGAACGCAGTTGTCGGTCGAATATCGTCTCTGCCAATCGTTGCAACTGAACGACGTCTTCGGACAGCCTGGAAAGTAGTACACATAAATACCATTGTAAAAATTCTAATTATATTCATTTTCGCTCAATAATAGCGCTAATACAGAATTCTGGGTTTTGAATAGCCCGCCAATCGTCCCGTAGGTAAAACAGTGCAGAGAATCGAATTGTGGCGACTCCGCGGTCACCTTCCTTATCCATGGCTGGATGCCATTCCGATGCAGTCGATAGGGTTGATCCAGCCGTCTATAAGGAACGTGACACTAGGAGACGCCACATGAGTAATTGTTTTACCGAGGCAGCCTAGCTCATCTTCTCCGTGCGGGCAATCGAAATAGCCATCGCAAAGCCTCTCTTGTGATATTCGATCTCTACACGAGCACGTGGTCTCGTCGCTTGCATCGCCGCAATCCACCTGTCCATCGCACCATTGCGACCTCAGTATACATCGCTTGCCGTCACGACATCGAATCATGTTGAAAGGACATAGTTCATAGTACCCTAATACAACGAAAGCGAAATCCAGTTATTAATCATGAAACCACTGGTGTCTCTTCTAAAAAAAAGTGACTCAAACTCTATAGTAGCATATCTAAGACAGTGCCTACCATAATTCGATAGATTTTTATTGTAAAATGAATTGTCCCTTGCATCGCCCTGCGCTTTACTCTCTCTAGAATTGGCGGCAGACCTCTGATACTCCGACTCCCCAGGTATAGCTGGAAACTGGAAGGTCGGCATAGGAATATAAGTGCAATAGTAAGGCAATTTAGCTGGTGCACTCGCGTCAGCACTAGGCGACGTTTGATGCCCCGGGAACATTGGGAAGTTCTGTGTTGCGGGCCCTGTCGGACCCACTTTCTGCCCACTGAATCCTGGGTTCCCTGAGTAGGGCTGCATCGGCATGATCTGCACGTTCTGCGCATGGACTTGCACGAAACTCTGCGTTTGGCTGTCAGGGTCCTGGTAACCTTCTCGCTGTTGAGACGTGTACGTTGGATAAGGAGCTCCTGGAGCCGAGGGGTACACAAATTGACCTGATTGCTTCCCGGAACCACTCTTCCCTGATGGCTCATAGAAGCAAATCTGGTGTTGCTTCCAGGACATCGTCGGTGTCAGTTGCAGCTGCTGGGTCGATTTCGTTGTTTCCGCTGTGGGGATGATCAGCTGCGAGTAATCTAGGGTCCCTTTCGTCTGCGGGTCATCCTTCATTATGTAAACCTTGCCTTTATAGGGGACTGCCTTCCTGGCCCCATTTGAATCTGGAAGTGATCAAATGGGGTGGAGAAGGGACTCATGAAACAGAGTCTTGAGGTTACTTATTAGCTATCCCTATCAATAATATAATTGAGTCTGATATACAATAGTGCTTTAGCGTCTATTGCTATTGCCCTCCCCATTCTTAGAAATCAGACGTCTAATATAAGACTGTTGACGTTCGTATGCACTCATCCCCTCTAAATTCGTAGAATTCACTTGTCCGTGGCTGGGCCCGAGTAGGGTCCGTTGAGTCCCCCGGTTTCCCCTACTCCGCGCTCCTGGAGGTCTTCTCTGCTCGCCCCACTCCTTCCACCGACGCTGTTCGGGACCCAGACCCACGCTAGAGCGGTATTTTCCCACTCAGTCCCTAGCAGAATCGAGAGGAGAAGCGGGGCGAGCGGAGGACTCCTCCTGAAGCAAGAGGAGGTGGTAATCTCCACCTGACAACCCTGGGATCCCAAACTCGAACGCTCAAGCAGGTATTACTATAGTTCTTAAACATTTACCATGTTACGTTTTCATAGAATTTTAATATATATCTCATTTTTATGTGACAAAGAAATGGGTACGCTAGACCCAAGTTGTAAACAGCTCGAAAAATATCGAGTTTCTGACCCCGTAATAAGATATTACAAATTCTATTATTTCTGAACTGAATATTTGAAACACGACTTATAGTTTGGTTGCTTCGACAGGTGCGACTGCTTTATACATTCATGGATATTTAATATTTACTGAGATGCAGGTACGAACTCCAGCCTTTGAAGCAGGTTCAGGGTGTAATAAATAATGCATCTACCGTTTTTGGTTCCCTCCGGTTCTCTCTGTTCGGCGTGACCTTTGTACGAAGGATACATCGAAGGATTAACCGCGTCGTTCGCTAGTTCCGTCACGTTATTTGTGCTCGAACTGTCCGTCACGTTCACGATGACCTTTGTCCGATCCGTATCATCGATTCTGATCGTCTGGCTCGCCGCTGCATTTGTCGGCTCCGCTTCCGTGAACGTCGATTTGATCGTCACTGGTTCCTTCGTGGTTGGTCCAGTATCTTCCTCCAGACGATCGAAAATGGTCGATATCTTGGCGTTTTCCACGTAATTAACGCTAGAGTTCTTTTCGGTTGGTTCGTCGTCGTCCAGTAACTTCGTGATAACGTCGACGTTATTCTCGATCCGATCGTGATTAAAATTCTGATACGTACGATCGTTGTTTACAACTCTATCAGGGCCAGAAGTGTCGATGAACGTTATGGAGTCGTCCTTGCACTGGAGACAATCGAGAAACTCCATGAATTCTGATCTGGACTCTTCCGGATTCGTGGAGAAACTCGTCAACAACGAATGCAAATGAGGCATGCTGTTATTTACGATCTGCGTGATCGCCCTCATCGAATTCATCACTGTCTTGCAGTGCTCCATGTTCTCTTTGCACGGAATCGTTCTAGTGTCTCGTTTTCGACGATCCCTATCCACTTCGGACAGTGTCGATCCCCATTCTGGACTCGATTTCAGCGATCGAATAATGTCGATAATTTGATCTATGGTTGCTGGATCTAATTCCTTTTCGTACTGATTACTTGGATCCGCTTGTTCGGCTTGGAACAAGTAGCCTTTTGAAAATTCAGTTAGATTTAAGTTAGATCTTTAACTAACATTTCGTATAATATGGTTAATGAAAATTTAAATAAAGTGTAAACATTGATTATTGACAATTAAATGTTCATTATACAAACCTGATGTGAAGACAATATACAACAGAGAACCAGCAAAGAGTATGGTCAATATTACAAGCAAAACTTCAGTCGGGAAAAGTAGTCCAAAGCGTTTGAAGATATTCCAACGACAACGAGTAGCTATACTGTTGCAACGTGTCGCGTCCACTGCTGAATTATCTGAAATTTTACGATAAACGAAAAGTGCCAACAAGTTAAAATATTTATTGGTATTAATAGGCAAACAAAAGTTTTCCATTTATTGAATTTGAGTCCCTTTCAAGCTTTCTAAATTATTCTTTTACATTGAAAAATGGATTGTTGTTTTAAATACTTTTCGTGACATTTACGAAAGAACAAAGGGTGGAAAACGTTCACTAATTGCTTGTCAAGACCGACAAACGTTTCAGCCGTTCTGAACGAAACAATCAATGGACCATTTTATTTCGAAAAATACTAACGATTTTCCATACTGGTTTTCGATGTTGGATTCACGCCACATTGACAGTCGAGAGTTGGCAGGTTTTCCAATTTGGAGACCGAAATCATGCACTCTGTATCCATGACGTGTTCGTGGAAAACCTGATTCCAAACGGAAAACGAAGTGCTAGAGTATCATCCATAAAATTAAGTATCCATTAAATGTCACCAGAGTCGATGGAGAACGATATCGATAACGATCCTCGCAGATCGTTAAAAATTTTATTAACTTCCGTAATTGCTCGATAATTTAACGTCCGTCTGCATCATTAAACAAGCTTGTCGAAATCAAATCGAATTAATCAATAATAATGGTAAACGTACAAAATGTCCCGTTTAAATGTTTCGCGGATGCAGAAAACTGCCATTTTCGATTTATTTTCTGATACGATGTTCTCGAAAGAGGCGATACTCACGCTCGCAAAGATCTTAAAGTACACTTCCTTGGTAGATCGTTTCCATTCGAATGCCAAAGTCGACTCGCGAAAACCGATTCGTCGCTTGAGAAGTTGCTACCGCCAATGGCCCGTGCGCTCGACGCTGTCGACGCAAAATAAACTCAGGATTCGATAAAACGGACTATATTTTGCATCGAATGCAAATATTGGTCAGCAATATTGACAAGGAAAATCAGGCTAGCGAGATTTCAACATCGTGAACGTGTGAATGACCATTTGGACGCATCGATATTACTCAAACAGTGGCAAATTTTGTTCCAGAAAAGTATACTTCGAAGAATTTGGTTTGGACATGAAATTATACAGAATGTTCCATTTAATATTTATGAAACTGTTGACGACACTAAAGAAAAATAGTTCAGGGAGGAGCTCATTATCCGATGTAAACAAGTTTGTCCTTTGTGGACGCGTAGAGGACATACGAAGGTCAACTTTGTTTTTTTTAAGCGAAGTCGCGTATTTTTCGGTTTCTTTTGATCATTTTTTGGTGAAGAATCGTTTATTGACATTTGTGGAACGCCTAGAAATTTTTTCAATGTAAAATAATCATAATTTTTGCATTTATAAGACTTGAAATTATCGTCGCGTTCGACGTAGAATATGAATAATTTTTATTCGCTTTGTCGGAATAGCGGTTTCGAACTGGTTTCACTTTCCTTGTGAAATCTTTTGTTTCTTCCGGAATTAAAACGATGCGCTTACTTTTCAGCGAAAAATTTCAACGCACGTAAACCTCTGTTCTGTTCGTATGTTAAGCGTAATAGGATCTCTGGTGTCGTTGACTTTTTTTTTATCGCTTATTGCGTACACGCAAGCCAGAAATGTGCAAAATGGGCACATACTTAACAACGGAACACTTTTCACTTGTTCGTATTAATTTCTTCGTATTCGGAAACAAAATATTCGAAATTTACAGAATTCTGATATTATAAATAACGTACGATTGATTATTAATTTTTTGCGGATTATAATTACTACTACAACTATAATCTTGGTTATTTTTCAGTTGAGAGCAATATTAATATTCATATTGTGTTTAAACATCTGGTTTTTTTCGCGTATTGCAAATACATATTACGTTTCACGGTCGTTTATTTTTATCTTTTCGAAGAAATACTCGTGATAAGAGAAGATGTCAATGGTTAATCGCCGGCTTATCTGCACGACCGTGTAAGTACCTAAGCTTCTGCTCGTTAAATCTTGATTATCCTTGTTTGAGTTAACGTTCACGCTCGGCACGCGTATTATAAAAAAATATCTTTTAATCTGAAACAAACACACGTTTCGAAAAATATTTAAAAATATTTTCGATCGATATAATTCCCAAAACAATCACGGACACTTTTTTATTTACGCGAAATAAATTTTAAATCGAGTTTATCGTGCGTACATTTATAATTGTACTGGAGGATTTTATTATTTTGTTACTCTAATCATGTTTTTCAAAAACGACACGATTGCTTTTTGCACGGTGTGTATGGATTTTGAATTCTAACCGGGTATCCGATGATTATTTGCAACGGATGCAGCGAACTTCGCGGGAAAAAATATTCCCCGACCCTGGTGTAATTGGATGAACGGTTTTAATTGGGAGAAATAATTTCTCGTGCCAGTACTAATTGGATTAAATTGAATCAGCGACTTCAATCCCGGCGAAACAATTGGTTTTCTGGAAACCAACCGAACAGAAAATCCTCACGTTTCTATTTTCGAATATTTCATTTGGAAACATACAATGTACAATAATTTCAGCTTCGAGTAATCGATAGTATATTGTATTTTCGATCCAGTATCTTTTTTCTTTATTACGTTTTTTAAACGCTTTTTTCATTTTTACGTCCAACTTTGTATGCATATATTTTATTACGCAACACTTGACGTGAGTTATCGTTCGTACTTAGTGTCATAGACATTTATGTGGATACAGATTTCTCTGAAGGTTAGAGAAACTATGCGGAGAACTAGTTTAATTAAGAATTAGCATCGAAACGACTGGGGGAAACTCTCGCTAGCATTGAATTGAGAATTATGATAATGAGAACAATATTAATGGGCTTGCCACTACTGACTCTATTAAAATAACTACTAACGAGTCGACAGGATTATTTACTGTATGATGAACTAATTAGTAAGTGGTCTATTATAGTGACTATTATGTTAAATCGTTGGTACTATATTAATTAGTGAGTCAAGTAACTTGGGTACTATACAGGCTGCTGAGTCAAGTAACTTAGCTACTATAATGCCCATTGAGTCAAGTAACTCAGCTACTATAATATCAACTGAGTCAAACAACTTAAGTTCTTCTTCTCACTAGAAAAATTACTAGATTATTCGTTCATCCACTAATCCACCTGTTGATCAAACATCTAACTACGCTTTTAGCTTGCTTGCCAGAGTACCTAACTATCGTTCAATGTCACCAGTTTCAAGGTGCAAATAAACAATAGTCACGCCGCCAGTAGGCAGTGTTATTACGTAGAAATTATTTCAGACGCTGTAACGCGGAATTGCGCAACATGGTTCTTTTACTTTCTCTTGCAACTGCTCGGCTCGCTCGGCCGGCAATCGATGAAAGTGACAGTCCCTGTTCTAGCGTTAGCTCGGCCACGTTCTCCTAGAACACGGATCGTTAAAATTCCATATTTTCTTTCCCCTCCGATCCACGAATAGATCCAAAGTGACTGGGGGCTCGCGTTCGTTCGAGCAGAAGACTAAGAGGTGACTGTGGTGACGGGGTCAAGTTGTTCCGGTGATAATTGTGCCATGCTAATGAAACGTGGCCCAGAAACAAGAAACTCTGAAGGCTGTCGAACTAGTAACGCTCACGACGCCCGGGACACCACGATTTTCTCGTAAAACCTTAGAAGATTACCGTCAACGAGATCACCAGGGGTCTCTTTGATCGACTAGGAGGCCTAGGAGTCTTGGACATGTAGACGTGGGACATTTGGGGACTGTAGAATACCTGGAAAACCTTATGTTTACAGGAGACCTAGGAGTCTAAAAAAACTCAGGGGTTCAAGAGATGAAGTAGGATTGGAAGACCTGGAAGGTCTCATGTATAAAAACACTCAGAAGGTCTACAGGATAGAGAAGTCTAGAAGACCCAAGAATCTAGGAGACTTAGGAGTCTAGGGGATCTAGGCTACCAAGTTTAAGGAATTTAGAAGATCTTAAGCAGTACGGGAAACCTAAGTGCACTTAGGAGCGTTGAAGATGTAGGAATACAGAAGAAAGGCTAGGAATCTAGAAGACCTAGAAACATGAGAGTCTAGATGGACTAGGAGTGTAGGAGACTCAGGAGTCTAGAAGACGGGAGACCTAGTAATACAAGGAAACCTACGTCTCAGGTGCATAGTGGACCTGGTGGTCTAAGGAACCTAGAAAATCTAGGTCCAGGATTCCTAGGAGTCCAGGAATCTAGGGAACCTGGGATCAGTTTTGCGATTACCTATGATGTCCTGTCTACTGACACTGTTAGGGGAATCCCAGAGTTCTGAATCCAAGATCCCGCAGACAGGTCGTTACACGATGGCCATACAAATTCCAGAACATAGAAGATGAGCAGACTGTGAGAAGAAAGTGTTGAAAGTTTCTCGAGGAAAGTGGCCGCGATATGAAAACCGGTCTTGCGGAAAAGGGATCTAAGAACGAAGTGGATGGTTGGATCCTCTCCACAACCTGTCCTCTAATGACCTCGGTAAGCATTATGTTAAACAGCACTTAGTCCTAAACGAATTGCATCAGAATAGGAATGAGGTATTCGAGTTATGGCACACTTTAATTAGCAATTCTGATAGTAATGGCGCTTTCTTTGTTTTGGTACTGTTGGTGCATTCGAGTTCGAAGTTGTCCCTCTTGCATCGCAACTTTCTAAGGAACGTCTTTGAACCGACGTTGGGTATTTAATTATAGCACTGTAAATCTTTGTTTAGCCGGAGGCTCATTTGACGTTTGAATTGCAAATTCGTTTTAAAGAAACGATGCACAAGAATGTAGTTGAAAGAAGGAGAACCGAGGGCAACGGGACATTCGTCATTTTCATTCATGGAATGCTCCATTTGCATTCGTGCCTTTGACTATGTCGTTTTAGAGGCTTCAAAGTCTCTTGTGCGTTTAATTGCATCATTACGATATCGTAACGCTTCATGAAAATGTATATTTATTGCGAAACATTTCGTTTTGAGTGCAGAACCGATGCATCGATCGGTCGGGGAGGTTAAACACTTGAAACTGGAGGACTCGAGGACTCTCTTCGTCCAATCATTCGAACGACCTCGTTTTTATTAATTTAATAGCGATTGCAATCAATTAAATTAATATTTTTAATATAACACTTTGGTGTAAATTATCGATTTCATTATATAAATATTAATTACTATTGTGAATGTAAGGGACCAAATGATTGCTGTAAACAACGAAGTAGTAAATTGTAGGTTAGTCTTCTTTTTTCTAGTAAAGTAGTTTACGGTTAACTCATTCTTATTATGAACAGTTTATTGCTCTCTGCGATTTACATAATACATTACATCTTGAGTTAGATTGTATAACAGATAGGTTAGGTTGTAATACATAATACATTACGTTAGAGGTAGGTTATAAACCAGCCTTATTCGCTGAAACACGCCCTTTCACTCAGTCCACTTTTTTGCTCTTCGGTTTTTATTTGGCGAATAAAGTCGTTACATGAAAATATATTAAAAATCAATAAATGTACCCCAGGGTTCGCTCGGTGTGCTCGTAGTGTGAGATTATATAGTGAAACCAATATTTTCAAACAACAATTTTGTTGAATAAAAGGTACAATCTGAATTACGCAATCAAAGACGCCTTTTATGCGGTTTCGTTTTGTTTCTGTTCGCCTTGTTTTCTCTCTCGTGTCGGTTCAATTGCGCGCAACAGAGAGGCGAAATAAAATACACAAAATAAATGGAATGCATAAAATATATAAAATAATATTTGTTGTACACAGAAACACAAAAAATAATAATGATTTATGTCTAAAGCAATGCTTGGATAACTGCAAGGCATTCTCGATCGGATAAGTGAACGGTGGTCACCGCAGCTCGACTTGCATTCTTCCGAGAACAGAAAATGAACCGTGCCTCTATAACTGCAAGCCTTCAGTCCCGTGTTTCTTTCAGTTATCCGAGCATTGTTATATCTCCTTGTCATAACAGTAATATGTGTAATCGGAGCATGGCAATAACTTAGAAAAATATTATTTCTTAAAACTATTGAGCCAGATACAGAATCGTAAAGGGTTAGGAGTTAATATAAGCATAAGCGACGGATATACGAGTTCATCGTCCACGTCGATGGTTTGCGCAGACACATACGTGCCGGCGTTCGTCCACAAAGGGTTAAAGCCACCGACGGAGCCAGACGCTCCCAACACAAATCTCCCGACGCGTCGCTCCGCTTCGAATATGATGATCCCGATAAGTAGACGCAGAGCCGCGCGACGGGTCTGTACGAATCATCGGCCCTGCCAGGAAGAAAAGAAAAAGAAGGACGGATGCGGCGTCAGAGCGAGACACAGTGCCCATGAGAATAGCCGTAGGATCATTTCCGTTACCCCTTCCAAGCCGCCTGGCCACGCTAGTCTGAGCGTGTTTGATGTTTCGAACCAGAGTCTTCGTGGTGACGGCCCGACGAACCGTGCTCTGGTCGATTTCGCGCTCTTTCGATCGATCGTACATGCGATCGATCCCTCGAAGTCTCCGAGATTTTCTGTGCCGCGACTCCGGTGACCATGTGTTCGCTGTTGTGACACGTGAGTACGATTTCATACTTTGCACCGCGAAAACGGCACCTGTTCTCAGCTTTCCAATCGCAATATGCAACCGTCCGTTTACCAAATTGTTTATTTAAGTTAATAGATATTTATATTAATTTTTATAGTGATACAATCAATATTAAGGTTCACTTTATGAGTAGAAAATTTGCTACGATAAATATGGGACAATCCATAGTCGTTTCGGTGTCAAGTAACTTAAAAGCGACTACTCTTTTAATTAGTCATTTCCAGTTACTTGGAGGAGATTGATTTACGATAATAGATAGCGCTAGAATTAATTTTAAAACGTAATTTACAAATAGAAAATTTGTAAACTACCCCCATTGTAACTTTAGTGTTTATTTAAGAAGTTCGATTCTCGAGAAACAGCCTCGAAATGCGGAAAGTTTTCTTCGAATTTCGAGGTGGAATTCATGGAAACGTTTTCCGTTTTGTTTTGCTCGTCCTTTGTTTTGTTTACATCGTCGGTCGTGGAAGTCTTTTTATATATTTTGTTCGTTTGTACCGTGAGAGCGTTGTTTTGTTTACATCGTCGATGGACAAACCAGCCAGTGTTACGTAATTTTCTTTCTTTCGAGCGATCGAACTCTCGTTCGATGTTCTGCGGATGGTGCTGCACTCGATTCGCATAGTTCGCCGTGCATGAATGCTATCTGAGCACGTGCTGCTTCGTGACGGTATTTGCGCCGGGAGATAAGAATGACGACTTCGCAGTGATATCATCGCCCCACCTGTATCTACTGAGCATATATTTATTGTAAATTATAACTTCACCTAGCTTGGGCATTGTTGTTCGACGGTGAACGAGGAACATCGGTTAATTTAAATTTATCTTGAGTGGTCGATAATCATTATCCGATCGTTTAACGACAAGCGCGAGCAGTATCGGTAGAAAAATCGGTGTCTCTGAAAAGTGAAAGCGTTTGCTCCACCACGCAATCGATGAACTCAGTCGAAATCCTCCAGCATCCACTTGGCACGTTGTCCGATCTCTCAGTATCTCGCCAACCGATCTCGGTGTTTGTTCGCGATTCGCAGGAGAGGATAATATCTCGATCGAAATCGATAATCGGGCCGATTGAAATAGTGTAAATAACCAAACTATATCGAACGATCGATCGTCGATATAATTTAACATGGTTTCTAACAGTTAGAGAAGTTGTATTGTTAACAACAATTGTGAGTAATTAATAAATAGTGTTGCAAATTGAAATTGGGAAGATCGGTAAGGACGAAGTAAGAAATTTTGTACTTTTTAAGGTGGAAAAATGGTTGAAATTTAATTTGTTGTTATTCTAACCGATTTTTAGTTTCAATTTGTAACGGTTATTGTGTCGTCGTTGATCAGAATGAAAAGATCGGTAACGAAGAAGTAATAAATTTTAATTTGTTGTTATTCTAACCAATTTTGACTTTGATTCGACAAATTGATAAGTTCGATTTTTTGTATTTTAATTTATTTTGCTCGAAATCGTAATTATCTTTCGATTTGTGGTGAGAACTGGAGCAGTAGGTCAAGTAGAAAGATCGAGACGATCGGTCTCGTCGAAGAAAATCCCGTCGATCTGAACTCGAGGTGAACGTCAAACTTGCTTCGCGAAATATTCGGAGAAAATGCAGACCCAGAAATTGTGCATCCATAGGCATATACTGGGTGGAACGTTTAAAACGAGTCTCCTGAATAACTCTCAATACTACCTCGCTTCTTGCATGAAATCACTTTTGTTTTAAAAAATCATTATTCTACAGAATTTTGCCATACAAAGTCATACCATTTGGAAACAAGGGTCCTTTGTATCTTTCTTATTCTTCCGTAAAAATATTGACATCAGATTTTGTCCCCTCAGAAAAAAAGCGAGACTTATTTAAAGCGCTTTGATCTATCGCCAAAAGTAAATGAGTCATTCGGGTGGTCTGTTTTAAATAACTCACCCAGTATAGATCGCGTTGTCGGTAGAATTTAATTGTTTTGGAGGTGCGTTGCGGACGCGACGGGCGGATGTCACTGAAAAGCGTTAGAATTAAGTTGAAACGATGAATCATACCAGAGGCAGCGTGGCGCCATTTCTGGGTAATCGCTGCACGAAATTAACCTTAATCGCCTCTGATAATAGAGCTCACTAGAAAGCGACCGACTCCGAGACTGAACGAACTTTTGTTTCGGTGAGTGCATCTCCGCGAATACATTCTTTTCCTCAATTTTATAATAATTTTCAGTTGTACATCTAACCTAAATCTATCCTCACATAAAATAAATTACTTCTAGGATATGATACCTAACTTAGACTAAACGAATCAATTCACGGTTTTGTAGGTCACCTCGAAGTCTGACTCACGTCTAACCTAATGTAAACAAATGGTGCACGACCTTCAAACGACCTTCACGGTCCCCGTGCCTCTCTAACGGAAAAACAACTCTCTCCAGTTATTAAACAGCAAAAATATTATTCAAATGGAACGTTCTTTACGAAACTTGAAGATTCAAGTGATATGCAATAAGTAATTAAGATTAGATTAGGTTATTTCAACCCACTTCAGAAACACTCTGTAGATGTAAAATCTCGTAATAAAACTGTCGATGCGTGTAAAAATACTAACTGCGAAGCGCATGGCATGATGCAGGTATACAATTTCTGCAAACCTCGGAACAATGGGCATTCTTGTGACCGACGAATGGTACTATTGAATCGAGCTGCAGGTGTTGTCACGCGAGAACTGTACAGTCCTAATAAGGATTGCATCGCGAATCGCCTAGCCACGTAATCCGATCACGTTACCGTCTGCTTACGCAAAATCATTTCAGTCGAACGTCACACGAATTTGACCGTTCCTTTTCTAATACAGTTATCACGTTAAGTGTCACGATTGGTCGTGTCCCCCCTAACTGACCCTGTCACAGCCACGGAGCAATGACTTTAGCCAGCCATAACAATATGATCTCCATTAAGACGTGGACCCAACAACGTGAGAAGTAATTTGACAATACTGTGAACTCTTTAGAGAAAATTTAAAATCTCTAAACTCTGTGATAACATGGACAGAAACCTCCAGAGTTGTGCAAAATCTGATTAGGTTTGCTGCAATACGATTACACAAATTCACACTCCAATTGCACTGTAAGCGTACCATGTTAAATGTAATCGGATTACATTTTGCCCAGCTCTGCTTCCATGTTCAATATAGTTATACCCTTCGAGAGGATTCAAATTGGGTGAAATATTGGGTCTGAAATTGAGTTACTCTAACGAAGTATCTACCTCAAAGCTAGGTATCTTTTAATACAACCTTCTTTAAAGTAGCTCTCTACTGATATACATCCGCTTTAATGTCATTGCAATTCCTGGAAAGATCGCTGAAAGACTTAGTGGGAGGATGTTAAGCTCTGTCACGTTCACTTTAATCCTGTCAGGGTTACTTGGTCTTCCATTTAACTCCATTCTGATCCTGAGCAGTGAGGATGAGTGAAAGGGTCGATGGTCTGGGTGATAGTATTCCTCGCCAATTAAAGATCTCCAATGGTAATCGATCCTCTAAACATCTGTTTACTTATTCCTCAAACCACTCCTCTTGTACCCTAGAGAAGTTCCCATGCTCTTTTCTTTTTCACTCCATTATTTATGGGCTTAATATTGCAAACATAACTACACAACCCAACGATGAACCTGTCTATCTACCACCACCTAACGCGAATAACAACTATATATCAAAGCTAGTTTTGAGGAGGAAGCAAGGTTCTTAGTACTCTTAATCGCCCAACATGCAACAAAGTTTCCCCTATTATAGTCTGCAAATTTCCTCGAACTTTCTAACAAATAACATACATCGGATTAAGTATTTTCCTTGCTGCGATACGTCACTCTTGAAGCTAATAACACGGACACCTCGATCCACGGATCGTGGGAAATCCTATCTTCTACAGACTTCTTAAGCTGATATTGATCGAAGCTTATGTGTCCCATAGGGTCCGTCCTTTTGGGAATGTGTCGCGACATTTTGTTACCATTGTTCCCAGCTCCATCAGAGAACGATCGTTCTGGCAGTGGTGCGAGCCTTACAGTTATTGTCTATTTAAGATGCCTGACGTCACTTCTCGTTGATCAACAATCACACTTGTTCAGCCGATCAATTACAAAGTAAGAGGATGCTACTAGTGTTAACTAAGTGGCGACAGAGCTCTTATTGATGGTTTTAGAGTACCACATGACTTCCAAGATTTGGCTGTATCTCTTTAGAAGTACCTATCATTTGATTATCTTCTGACAAATCCTTTTTGAATGGCATGTTCATGTTTCATCAACATTATACCTAGTATCATGAGAGATTGGAGGATTATTTGATCACCAATCATAGATTTTAGTTAGACCATGTTGTTCAAAAACATATTTTAAAGAAAAATCAACAGGAGGTGGGTGCCTAAATATTTCGACGAAAAAAAAAATTTTAAATCGTTTTAAAAAAATTATTTTTAGCTAGGGGGGTTAATTGCAATCATTTTTGGTGAACACACATACCACCGAAATTCTACGTACTTTTGAGAAAAAAATTCTTTACCGAAAATTCGATGTCTGATCGAGACATTCCGATTCCCCTGAAATTTCATGCGTATGTTTAAAAAGGTCGTAACTTCTGCACGGATCGGAGGATTTTACTGTTTCAAATTGCAAATTGACAAATGTTTATTAGCATGTTGGCGGCGAGGAGCAAAATATTTTAATTTAATTTTTCTGTTTTATTGGAAGTGAAACTTTTGACAGACGATAGACCCTAAGAGTAGAACTCCAATTTGTCTCGCCACAATCTTGTCGTTCCGACGCTCCAACGCCTGCAACCGATTTTATTGAAGAATTGATAGTCTCGAGGGTGTCCTGGTGATTTCGTTGCACGATATTTCAAAGCATTATGCTTCCACGATCCTCTTATCCGTCGCTGTGACAGGAATAGCGGGGTGGCCGCCAGACACCTAACAGGCATTCTTATTCCGACACATTCCAGGTTGCCTTAATACCCATCGAAAGTGGCTTTATAACCTTCGACCGTACGTATCGGAATTTCCAAAAGCCTCGGGAAGATTTCGTTCAGCGGAGGAAACTTCGTTTCGTCACGTCGACTTATCTTTTGCCTATCTTGGCGATCGAAAACATTGATTGCGTAAAGAGAATAGGATTTTGATGACGGATCGGACGTTAATCGATGCGTGAAACATGCGAAGAATTTGTTTTCTTCCTTTTCGTACAGTTTCTAATTTTGTGTGTTATGTAATAATTCCAGGAATCGTGTAACTCAAGGTCGATACGTGATTTCATCTTTCGAATAAACTTGAGAATAATACGTCGATGGACTAAACGGAATTCTTACATCGATGTCCCAATTTATCCATATTCATTAGCCTCAAATTACGACTATTTTTAGTATTGATATATTTTATGCACGAATGTGTGTATACAGAGAATAAATAAATAAAATAGGAAGTGCTTAAGTGGGTAAAATTCAGGATGGAACTAAAGAGCTGTTATCAAGTGCTCAACTCAATCATTAAATGCTAGTATAACTTTCCCTGCTACATATATCGAGGGACGAAACTTGTTGTGGTTCAGGATATTGCAGATTTTATTTATTTTCTCGGAAGTAAGCTTTCCTTTCGTCTGTCAAGTTTCTTGCATACTTATTCACATTAATAGCTACAACAACAGTAATAATACATAATACAGATATTTAATAAATTGCAAAACAAGAATAGTACTATTGTTCGAACCATTCGTCAATATTTGTTTAAAATTTAAGAGTCTGGGGGTGGTTTCTCCCTTGAAGTTCGAAGGCAGCATCGAAATATGGCATAGTTGTTGGACCAATCATCAGTTGTACCAAGTTTCATGAAAATTTTCATCCCTTGCGAACGTGACAAATTGACTACGACAGTTTCGGTTCAAGATTGCCTTGAAACATAAATTTTATTTCGTATGCTACAGTCGCATACATCATATTAAAACTTATACATTTTTTTGCATGATTTATCGGAACCTTTCCCTTCGCAAATAGTTCTCTTTTGTCGTCTGCGCGGGTTTCGGAATATATTTCGAAGCGTAATATATGCATTAAATAGTCTAAAAAATTTTTAAAATAAAAGTTGATCAGTTTTTGATCAGTGGACGTTAAAAATTCCGAAAAAAACTGTTGCAATAGTGGGCTAACTGGTTTTAAATCACCGTTGTTGTGAAACACGGTCCTTCAATTCTGACGAACGCTCGTACTAATTGAGCCCAGCTCCGAGCAGCCAATTTGCGTCTGATCGCGATCGAAGTTGACATCGTGACACTGAAGTTTCCCCTTCCTCGTCTATGGCTTCCACCCGTCGTACACTCTTAGCGCGATAAGCCACGCGATTTATCATTCGGATGATCGTAAACATCGCCAAGCCCCATTACAGTAATTTTTTCCAAAGTGCCACGATTTTTCTCTCGAAAAGTGTCACAAAGTTATATTCATCTCCCCGCCACTTCCTGCAACTGCCTGTACCTAACGAGCCCCTGGATTATCTTCGAAACACATTTGCCATTGTTAAAAAAAAAAAGACTTCTGGATCTTTTCTTCCCTGCAATTGTGATTTGAAAATAACAGAAAAATCCGTTATTTATATAAAAGGCAAAGTCTGTGTGTTTGTTCCAAAGTTTGTAGAGGAGTAGTTCTCATTTTTGACGTTAGATGACGCCACCAAAATTTTGTAGCGTGTATTTTAAAAGGGGCACACCACTCCAATGAATTGTAAAATATTCCACAACAACAGGTTCAAAGATTGATGGGTTATCTGGTATTCATTCTAATCTACGACGAATCCTTATCTCGTCGATCGACTACGATAAAAAGCGTGGGAAACGAAAATATGAGATGCAGTCGATTCTTTGATTTCAGCGCGATCAGACCGTAGGGCCAGAAAGCTGAATGGAGACATCAGCCAGCAGACGCTCGCAGATCCTTGGATTGGTCTCGCTATGGTTCCTACAAATCGCGTTGCCCACTGCGCATGCGTCCTACAGCATTGGCGTGGGCAGAGCTGACACCACCGGACCCACTGCTGAAATCAATTTTGTTGGTATCCAGTTTCTGATTTAATTTTCTATTTATATCTAAAATTTTTTGATTGATCAGTGGTGGGTGAAACAACTGCACTGAATTACTTTTTGAATAATTATATATGTAAAAATTAAATGAAAATATTATTAAATAAACTTGAGAAAGATACCTACCCTGGCGGATCGATTAAAAACAAATAACCAGGCTTTTATTCCGTGCGACGACGAATCGAAAAGATTGTTTGGTTTCCAGATGGGCTATGCGAAAATCGATCAAAAGGGATCAGGACTCCATCTTCGAACATTCTCCCGCGCGTTCATCATAGATGATGGCGAGGAGAGGTTCGTTTTCGTCAGCGTGGACAGCGCGATGATAGGAAACGGCATTCGACAGGCGGTAATTCTTCAGTTCTCCATTGATAATTTTTTTGCGGGGGTTTAGAACCCAACTCAAATCGTGGAGCTTCGTTAATTCGAACTTAATGAGAACCCACGTGGTGTTTGTCATTATTACAGGTGCTGCAGAAACTGCACACGCAGTTCGGTGACATGTACACGGACAAGAACGTGATGGTCAGTGGCACGCACTCCCATTCCACTCCAGGTGGCTTCATGTTAGACATGCTCTTCGACCTCACTGTGTTCGGATTCGTTAAGGAAACGTTCAATACGATGGTCGAAGGAATAGCTAAGGTGATTATGATGCAAGTTAATCGACGTAGGAGTAAAACAAAATAAACATTTTTATTTTTACATATCTTTGCTAAAATATCACCACTAGATTGCTGGCATTCCCCGGATAAAAATGATTCCAAACACAGCTCAATTCTAACCATTTTTAGTCACTAAAATATTTAACTCGAGCTCTTGCAAATTTCAAAAATAATTAAAACAGGTTTTAAACATATTAAACGTAGTTCGAACAGGGTCGTGCTTGAACTCATTTCCATCAGGAAAATCTCGTCGATATATTAATAGTATTGCCATGAAGATATAATGGAGTCCATAAAAATGTTAATTGTTGCAGAGTATCGAACGTGCCCACAATAACATAGTGTCAGGTCGGATCTTAATCGCCCACGGGGAGGTCCTTGACGCTAATATCAACAGAAGTCCTTCGGCATACCTCAACAATCCGCAGTCTGAGAGAGACAGGTGTGTAACGACCAGTCATTATCCAATCATTCGGAGATTAATTAATACTCTTATTCTCAGGTATAAATACAACGTCGATAAGACTCTGACCCAAATCCAGTTCATTGGAGCGGACAACAAGCCTCTGGGTGCCATTAATTGGTTCCCAGTGCATCCAACTAGTATGAATAACACTAATCATTTGGTGTCCAGTGACAACGTCGGCTACGCCTCCATTCTTTTTGAGAAAGCGATGAACGGAGATAGTTTGGTTGGCCAGGTGAGACGTCCTTAATAATAGCAGTAGATCAACTGCTTAATTCCTAAACGCGCTAATCAAGGTAGTTAAAGGACCACGTGGTAAGATAATGTAACCAGTGTCTGACACGAAGATCCTTTATTCGTTGGAATTAGGGTTCGTTCGTAGCGACATTCGCCTCCACCAATTTGGGCGACGTTTCTCCGAACACTCGCGGCCCAAAATGCGAGTTTTCGGGTAAAAATTGCTCGGCTCAGTACACGTGTCCTGGAAAAAAGGAGATGTGCTTCGCTTCTGGGCCAGGAAAGGACATGTTCGAGAGTACCAGCATCATCGCGAACAAGATCTTCAAGGAGTCATGGGTGAGTCATTTTTTCTTGCCACCTTCTTTTCAACGGTGGTTAAATAGTGTCAAAACTAATTGCAAATATCGAAAATATTGAGGTGAAATTTTTCGATATTTGCTCTCTTGTTTATGCTAGGTAGCTAACTCGTAATGGTATGACGCTATATCCGTTAATTAATTAAAACTTTGCAGTAATGGAACTTGTCACTGAATAGCAATCTAGGGAATAATATAGTCCATTCAAGACACGTCCTAACTCTAACTCGCCTCGGTTTATCCTTTCGAAGGAAATCTGTTATACCGTACACAATGGCGTCGGAATGAAATAACAGAGCATTGTGAATATTGTCAATATATCTCCCCTATAAGGATGCAATTAACAGCCAGTCAGTGGCACGATATGCTTACCTATCAACGCAGAGTTGACTTCGTAGCGTGTATACCGGGTGTCCCGGGAGTTACACGATTTAGTTGCATGGATGTATCAAAGTGAAGGTTAACAAGTTTATATTCTAAATGAAAAAGAATAATAATGAAATCTAGATAACGAAGAAAAATAGTTAAATGAAAAAGCTTCATTCTAAAGGTACTTTAGTAATCTTGCTTGAATCTGGAGAGAACATCAATTCGAGGAAACTGTAAACAACAATTAGTAATAGACTAAACGGCGTGTAACGATGGAATCGCTAATTGCGTTAAAACTTCCAGTTCCTCCGCGAGAAAACCCGTAATTAAAATACACGGTGTTTGTTAATGAACAATATTCTAGTAAGAAGCGTAAGAAAAAAAAAGCAGAGTACGGACGAAATCATAGACACGGGGAGCAAAGATAGCGATCGGTGGATTAAAGTAAATGCACTCGGCAGACCGTAATGCGGTTGGTACACTATTAATTAAAAATGAAATAAACTGTGTTGATTGTTCAGACAGCCGGGAAGTCGCTTTGCCACGATTTTCCTTTCATCCGCCAGGATTTTTAGAGAGATTAAATAACTATGCAAGAATTAAAAAAATGTAAAATAAGAGATTTTAAGTCAATGTTAATAATTTGACTTCTTATTCAGTCTTGTCGGGTATGTTCTTGAAACTCCCGCTAGGTGGCTACTGCTACGATTCTTTTCTCGCTTTCGATCATTCGCATCTAGTATAGGACTTGTTAATTTTATTTTGTCCGTGTGAAATAAAAATTTATGTTGTTGATCGTGATTAAAGTAACGATTGGACAATTTGGTCGAGTCGATAGCAGGAAGCGTAACTTGCAAACGATGAGATTAGATCCGGGGGGAAATGCTGAGCACGACAAACTGTTTACGTTAGCGACAAATGTTGCGGGAGCAGGAGATTTCATCTCGACAATTCTGCTTTCGCAATCTTTCTCCCGTTTCCCTAAACTGTTTACGGAAACGGAAACCTTGACCAAAGTTACGAACTACACTGATGTCTTCTTCGCCTCATTAACTCCATACAAACCCATGTGACGCTGATGTCACGTATCCATACATCATCGCGGACTGTAACGTGTCGATTTTTATGAAACTTTGCATAAATATTCACTGACGCAACTCAACATCTCGACTTTAAGGGAGAAACCACCCCTTATATCAGAGCTCCCATTTTATTTGTGCCTGTATAACTTTTAAATAAATATTTTTTAATATCTGTTATAGCTTAAAAGTTACATAATCGCGAAGAAAATGGAGGCTCTGATATAAGGAGTATAATCGAAAAGCAGCAACAATTATATATGGCATAGTTTCAAGGTTGGGCCAATAAAAATTTGTGAAAATTTCAATTCGTATCTCGCAATCAATCTTTACAAACGAGCTATTATACAGTATTTTCCGAAGACAAAAATAATTAAGGTTAAATGGGGTTAAAACACTCGCCTCGTTTGATCAGATTAATAAGTCATTGTAATTGAGCATCGCCATCTTTGGGAGTGCTTCAAGGTGACTTCATTGTCCCTAGAATGGCGTGTTTTTCTTTCGTAGATAAACAAAAGTCGACTCACGATTCCATCTGACTTCGTTATTAATTACCCGAGAGAATAATTCCAGCGAGCACAGACGCGTCCGGGCTGGAAATTATAGCAGGGGTTCTTAACTTTATTTCTGTTATCTTTTTAAGAGTCGGATGATTCATACAAACTGTCTTGTACAAAAATATATTTAGCTTCTTAAATTAAAAGTGTACAATGTACGTTATTTTTTTGTCGTATTATATCAATTTTAGATTGTAGGATTTTTTGAGGTTAGTAGACGCAGAAACTTTTATACAATAGCTTTTATTGAGTACAAGCTTAGTTCCTATTTACAGAAAATGTGTAATAATACTTTACAGTTAAAAAAAATATAGATTCGACTCGCGGCGCACCTTTCATGTAGAACGATCAGCTGTGTTCCCAGTTCGTTGGTTCCTAGAAGTAGCACTGTGTCGTTTTCAATCCGTAACCAGATGGCGCTGAACTCAAATAGTTTGCAAACTTAATTAACAAACTTGTTAAACTCTCATAACTAAACTTAACAAACAAAACTACTAAATTTGATTTCTACTATGATCTTGTTCGTCCCAAAACCTCATGATTCTAACCTCAAAATTTCAATCGTTCCAATCCCTAGTGTAATGACCCTAACCTCAAATAATTGGCACGATTTGCAAACTTTGCTAAAACGAAATTCTCTTCCGGTTTTATCCAATGCCCAAGTCGACAATCTCAACTCGCGACGATTCTAATCCCCGCAAAACCTTCTAATTGCGCAATCTGATCTTAACGACGTCTCCGCTTTCCGTCCAGCAAAAAAATGGCGCCGGATTTTCGCGCCTGTTCCACTTCCTTTGGGAGCGTACCAAACGGAACGCGATGGAAAGTTCTCGTCTGGCTTTTCATTAATTTTCAGGTACCCGAGCAGTTTTTCTACCCGCTTTCTACTAGTTAAGGAACGGTAAATCTCGTTTACATATTCGCCGTGTACAATCGTTTCGACTTTAAGGATCCGTTTTCCACGAACGAAAATTTACTCGCGAAACTCCCAGTCGTCGATCGGAGAAAACATTTTCAAGAAAAATTGCATCGAATAGGGTTCCGTCGAACCACCCTGATCGATACGGGCACACGAAACTGGAGTTGCAAACGTAGATACGAATTCTCAGAATATCTTTTCGAACTCTTCGGAAAACTGAACTCGAGAAAATCGAAGTTTCGGACACGTAGGTAACCGACTATGGAACCGGACTTTCGGGATCAGCAGAATTCAGGGCTGATCTCTGAAAATGTGACGCGTCCCTGTTCGATCACCTGCGCGGTTTAACGAAGCGATTCGTCGTTGACCCTGTTTCTGCTTCCTTCGAGATCTCCCTAAGTTTAGTAGTGCTTCTCATAATCTTCGTAGCTGTTGAAGTACGCTGGCGACACGTACTTCGCCACGTGGATGGGTTTAGGGTGGACAGCTGGACCGACCTTCTTCACGACAGCGTTGAAACCGTTGTGATCGTCTGCGGTGTACTCGACGATTCGGACGCTACCGTCGGGCTCGTTGACGCTGTAGGATCCGTGGACGACGTCGCCGTCGCGAACCTCGTGCTGGGTCTTTACATCTCCCGTGTGGGGGTCGTGCACGCCATAGTTGAAGGTGTACTTGGGGTGAGCCTACAATCGAGGAACAAACAATGTCTGTTTTGAGGGGAAAAACAAGTTGGGTTGTAAGGATTCAACAATCTAGGGCTCTATAGTAAAGAATTTATACAATGTTGCAGTGTGGGTGGACATATTGTAGCCACAAAGACCCTAACATCGGGTAAACATAGTTCTCAGCACCCTACAAACATCATAAAGTGGAATTTTTAGACCTCTGAAGTGGGCATAGATCAATTTCATAGTTACGCACAGGATGTCCTAGAATCCCTGAAAAATGAACTTTCTCCTAACTCATCTCCACTTAAGACATTGCATGGGATGGCCACCGGTAGCCTAACGTCAGAACACAAAAGTTTTTACCCCTACAATCATCATAAATTAGAGTTCTTGCACGGCTGAAGCGTTCAATACGTCAGTTTTATAGTTACGCGAAGGATGTCGTTGAACAGTGAACTTTCTCCTTACTTGCATATTTTCACTTAAGTCAACACACTCATAAAGAAAACGAAACCTACCAATTTTCTATAAATAGAGTCATTGAGAACACTATCAACGTATTACCAAGGTTTTTTCGGTGAAAATGAGTCCAAACATGACCTTGTTCGAACTACTCTAAATACGTTAAAAATTCAAACTAAAATTATTTTTTAATTTTGAGAACGTATGTACGTCGAGAATCTCGTCGATCCATTGATAATACGGATCCCTTACATAATTTATTGATAATGTATTTTCGAACATGGATCTACGATTCATATTTTCTGGACACCCTTTGTATTCCCACCGACATCGTAGACGAGTTACGAGTAAATAGGGGAAATAAACTATTCTCGTAGATGGAAAGTCTGGATGCATTGGATATTCGAACCCGTTCAATTGATATTATGTCCCACGTGAAAAATTTCGTAATTATCCACGTAACGAACATCCAGATGCTGATATTATAGACGATCGTTACGAGCAGACGTCGCGAGAAAGCGTCGCGGAAACGACCGCGACAATGAGATACATCGCGGAAGAGGTTCTTATGCCGGGCGTCACATTTCACAGCCAAGAATTTCAATTAAAGCACAGGTGACGCGATTGGAACTGAAGTCACACCCGTTGCTTTGGCTCCATACTACTTAAGATGGACACGGCACACGATTTCGGATGCAAATTAACTCCAAGACACTCCTTATCTCCCAGATCCACTATCATGGCAGACAATTGTCATGCAATTTGTTTCTCGATGTCAGAAATTAACATTCTAGGCATCGAAATTCTGCAGAATTTATTGCCCCTCGTCCCGATTTTATTGTTTTTAAATCAAAAAAAGGATTCGGATTCAAAACGAAGTTTTTGTTACCACTCTGCTTTGTTAAATTCAATCTTAAAGTAGCGCGAAGCCTTGAAAAATGATTTGCAACAAAATATTCGTTAAACCAATTCGAAATACGAGTTGTTTTATACAAGAATTATAAGGAATAGTACTACAGCGCCCTCATCGTCAATTAAAATGTCCGTTAGGTGACGAAGTCTCAATTTTGTGAAGATGGCTGACACTATTGGGCACTTACGTAGTAATCGTGGTCATGGTCACCATGATGGTCGTAACCGTGCACCCCGTGGTCGAGCGTCGCAGCGACATGCACCGGTGCGGCGGAAACCGCGTGGACTGGAACGGCTACCGTTGGCAATACCGCATGTTCTCCATAGTTAGAAACCCCCGAATACGCCTCGAGGCCCTCGTAATCGCTGTAACTGATCCCGTGACCTCCGTTGTAACCGCTTAGAACCACGGCGTTGCAGTATGCGGCCATTACGCAAACCAAGCACAAAATCTGAAATTTTAATTTGCAACTTAGATTGTATTCGACGAACTAGTTTATAGGGGTGAGGAATTAGCCATTGGAATCACAGGGTCGAGTGTACAGGGTCTAACCTCAACCTAGTTAGTCGATGGGGAGCATGGAGGATAGGAGGTAGCTAACCCCGAAACAGTTAAGAGGGTCTAGGTTGCAACTCTTCGCAGAGTGTCATTCGTTGCAATAAGTCTGAGGGAAGAATGCGGGGAATTTCCATTCTAGGTTGATCTACAAATTGAACAAAGAAGATGGACGAGATTCCTCTGTAATGCAAACCTAGTTATCTCAGTTATTTAGTTTCATCGTCGACCTAATGAATTCCTTCTCTCTGTAATTAATATCTGTTGGAGGGAAAGACTTCACGACCCTAACCTCAAAATATCGGGGAATTGTTTCGCTCCGAGTTCAAAATACCAAAATGGCTGCGCATTGTTATTTCATACCCCGTTAATAATTCCTTCGATAGGAAAATTTCCAATTATTATTTAGTCGATATCGTTTCAATGGAATGCCTTTGTGAATCTCAAAGGGTTCGTTGGAATGTCCATGACGAGCTTTAAACGGACGACGAAGCACGCAAGTTTCGCGACAAAAGGGGGTCGACGTGAAATCGATTTCCTGTTAACCGAGATTTTTCCCTCGTTGAATCCTTGCTCTTTCGTGAAAAATGTTAGCCACGCAGAGCCAGTATATCAGGAGTATGAAAGGGTCATAAAGCGAAGAATATTATGGCGATCATTTCGCCAAGCTAATACAAGCAACATAAACGCAACTTTTGCAATAACAATCCGTCCTCTCTTAAGGCTCGCTGGGAGAATGACGTATTTAATACGTTACGTGCTGCTCTTTAAAAGAATATGGAAACTGTCGTTCCAAGGCAAATCATTTAGCAACTTTCCATTTTTTCTCCTACGAACGTAGTATCTGCCATAACTATGAGATCATCTCTGTTATACGTTAAGTAGAATGAAAGAACAGTTAGCTATTATCATTTGAGTGTAACTAATATTATTCTGGGTATATCGTAGTATCTTTAATGTGAATACTATAGCTAGACTCAGGTGTAGCCTGGTTTGTGTACACAATAAGCCTCTAACGTAAACCTAATTGAGTTTAAACCAGGCCTGTGGTAGATTGAACCTGACTGATTGGAAGTTAATGAGCTGTTTAACCTAATTCATCTGGAATTCTGATCTGAGGTACAGTTAACTCAGGTTGATACTCGGTCCAAACCATTCCAAACGCTGATTGAACTAAGTTAATCAAACGCTGGTCTCAACGAGATCAAACCAATAGGATGTCTAGTAACTTTTCCATCAAGTTAGCAAGTAATTGATCAGCCTAACAATCTCGTAGTCAGAATAGTTTAGCTTACCATCAGGTCCAAGTCTAGCGAACCTAACTCAAACCTAGTCATACTACGTCAAACACACCTCGACAGGCTATCTTTCAAGTACCTGTTGAAATAATCTAGCCTAGGCTAACTTCCAAATTCTAGATCGGCAGTAGACTCAGGATCGTTAAACATTGTTTGGCCACTGGAGGGGTTCGACGAACGGGAGGCTGAAGTCATCGAACGCGTCGAGAAAGTTTCTCGTGTTTCGTCTTTCGCGTCGACCGTCTCGCGCTCGAATCACCCGCGTGTCTTCTCCCCGAGTGTCCCTTTTCACTTTCACGCCGACCTTGCTCCGCAAACCAACACGAATCCACGGAAGTGGTTAGAATCCACCACCTGGGCTATCGCGTTCTGTGGATTCCAAGGATAAGCCGCAATACTGTTGCTCGTTTTATCCTCGACCGAGGGTGTCGTTTGTCAAACAAAAGAACGAGCTGATGCTACGCGACACCGAGGCAAAACGATCTTTCTTGGACTCTTTGGAACAGTGCACCAGAGTAGGTGTCTTTGATTAGATTGTTGTAGGTTTGAAGATGTTTGGTAGACGTTAACTAGACTTTTAAGGATTCTTTTTTTAGAAATTGTCCTCTACATGTGAAAGGATTCTGTTTGGGTAGGACAGTTCTGTTATAAATGGGCATACCTAGGTGTTTGACTAGGTTTGAAGGTGTTTGCTAGGCGTTAACTAGACTTTTAAGGATTCTTCTTCTGAAAATTGTCTTCTATAGGTAAAAGGAGTCTGTTTAGGTAGGACAGTTCTGTTACAGATAGGCATACCTAGGTGTTTGACTAGGTTTGAAGGTGTTTGCTAGATGTTAACTGGACTTTTAAGGATTCTTTCTCTAGAAATTGTCCTCTACATGTGAAAGGAGTCTGTTCAGGCAGGACAGTTCTGTTACAGATAGGCATACGTAGGTGTTTGACTAGGTTTGAAGGTGCTAACTAAACTTTTAAGGATCTTTTTCCCGAAGCTTGCCACGTAGATATGCAAGTATCGTGGCTCTTTATGATGATTTCTAACGACACGTAAATTAAATTCTAACAATCGTCCTCTATCGTTCAGAAAAGAGAGAAATCGCAAGGCATCAAGTACCTAGACGATCAACGAACGATTGAAAATTCTACTCTTCGCAGACCGAATGGAACTCGAACGACTTTTATTATTTATCGAGGCAAGATGGAATACCATGTTTCGCAAGAACAACCCACCGCCTATTTGCCGAGCCATCAGAGGGGAGTTCCAATTTCTGCCCGGTGTCCAAATACGCGTCGTCCAGCCGTTCAGGGGGGCAAAAGTTAAGCTGGATGAACGTCGAAGAATTACAAAAAAAGTTCCGAAAATCCAAGCGGCCGCGACGAGTATCGGGGCACAAGAACGGAAACGAGACTCCTCTGACGGCTCCCGCGCACGCACACGGCCATTTATCCCCCGGTGTTAAACGAACATCGTACCTTCAGCATCGTTGCTCGACTCGTAGGGTGGCCCGTTTAACTGGTATATGCGAAAACAGCGCGATACTCACTGATAGCCGTTATTCCGGGACGATCGTCTTATATCTATCTCCCACCAGCGTGGCTGTCCCGTTCCGGGCAAAGGCTCTCGTCCTCCTACCGCCTGCCCCCCCCGTCCGCCCCCTCTGCTTCCCCCCCCTCGTCGTCATCTGCGGTTTCTTCTTTTTCCTGCGCGAAAACCGCCGACAGCGTCTGTCCACGTGCCGGGGGTATTTTTTTCTTTTTCTTTTTTTTTTTAACGAATCGAGCACCGGCGAAAGGACGCTCGTTCTCTGTCAGGGTACTTCCGGCCAGTATTCAAGAGTCGCAGAACATCTTGGACACCGTCGTTGGGAAACGAGGAATCCACGCTTTCGATGAAATTCGATTTAACCCTTCGCTAGCGAAGCATTCCGACACCGTTTATATTTATTTCGTTTATGATCGATATCGTGCGCTGTCGTTTTGAATATTTTGAAATTTCCCGCCATATCAATTTTGTCTCGGGAGTACGAGATTTCGTTCAAGGGTTGATGGGTTCTGGTTCATTTTTTTTTTAATTTGATTGCGATAGAGTTCCTCGAATGCTTTTGCGACGCACTGTACGTACCCGGGACGCGTAAGCCTGGTAGGGAGGGAAGAAATTAATTTGGCGAGAAAACGAACGCGCGAAGAGAGGCGTGGCTGCCTCTGTTACGTTGGGAAGTGTTGTAATATTCAGGAGAGTCGGAACAAAGCTCGCCTGTGTGGCTCCTGTGCATAGCTAATAGAACGTCGTTGCTCCCGATGCAATCGCGAACTGGGCTAACGAATTCCCTGGAGGCTAATGATGCACGACACTTTTCCATCCTGGCCTTGGATACATCATTATATTTTAAATAATGATTTTTATTGCAACTCTGTACCTTCGGAAACTGATACACTACGATCCAAATTGAGCGACGATGGCCTAAAAAAGATTGGGCAGTGTTTCACACTGGACTGTATTTGAGTGGTTCTAGCTTCTGTTTATGTGTTTTGAGAACACAGTGAATGCGTGGGAAGATCGTGAGTTTTGTCACGTATCCTGCAGGTGCTTGAGACGTTCAAACACAGGACTGCACTGTCTTAAATTTAGCATGACTGGTGTATCATAGACCACGAACAAAGTATCACTTAAAACACAAAATTTTAAAAAAGGTAGGTCAAAAGTTTAAACTGAACCCATTTCCCCGTAAGAACTCCCAATTTAGAGGCATCAAATTTTGAAATCAAAAGCACCTTCGTTAGAACTCGTATCTCAACACTAAAACAAAATAGAAATTGTCGTGTGCTGCATCAAATTCGTGTGAAATTAATAGCAATGCATTTGCGAGGATTCGCCGATTAAAATGAGTCCAAACACGACCTGATTCGGTCGATCCTCGATTACACGTGATTGGCGTAAGCGTTTCCAAAATTAAAAAAATTATTCAAATTACGTTTTAGCGTGCCAGACATGGTCCGATCGACGTCGTGTTGGGGCTCATTTTCATCGTGAAAGTTTCGCCACTATGTCAATGATATTTTCATGAAGATATGGGGAAAAATTTACTAGAAATTATCTCGAGCAAGGGCTAATAAGAATCGTATTCGTTAGTTGGCAGAGTTATTACGTCCATTGAATAAATATGAGAAGGGGGTGATCGATTATGGTTAAGGGTACAAATTAGGCCTTGAAACCTAGAGTTATTGCAAAATAATCCGGCAAAGGCGTGGTCCTCCTTAACTCCTCTCAAATGACGCAACAATACATCCAACAAAGCTCGTTTGTCCACCTGAACCAATGACGCTGTTCTCTCACGCGTTATGAGACGCGCATGGACGTTATGCAAAAACGACGATTTCGCTCGTTTATTGCGACCAACCAGGTCAAGAGCGACTATTATAGAAAAACGGGACTCCTTAACGTTCTGCATTCCCTTTCTTTTTTTATTCGTCCATTTTATCAGACTGAATTTCATCGAACCGATTCACATTCCAGTTTTTATTATTATACGTCCAATAGTATTAGATGTCTCAAGCAGAAGAATTAAAAGAAAAATCGATTAGAAAATTAAAAAAATAGTTGGATACGTCCTAAAGTAATTCCGAAAAGATTTAGCAACAACTTTGCCTGCTTTTGTTCTATTTATTCGCGCCAGAGGGCGTCGACGTTTACATAATTAACCTAAAAAGATAAATTGAAGGCCCTATTCTTTCAACGTCCATTACGCAGTCGCGTCTTATTCACAATGGCGGCGATTGGATTTCACAGAACCCTTTGTTTACGCCGACGGTTTGCTACACTATAGTCTATATCTTTCGAGGTGACGAAAATTCGACGATTTCACAAAGATTCTCGTTTCGAACGTTCGTTTTCAACGAATACTTTTCCATGGATTTCCGTGTGACGTCGCCATTAATCGGTGGACCGACAAAGGAGGTTATGTACAGTGATACGATTCAAATAAGATTCGTCGAAACGATTTGGTATTCTCGACTCGCGGAGCAGTTCATGACTGGAGGTAAAAATCTCTTTAAAACGTAGCAGAGATATCGCGGGACGACGATCAAACTTTTGCATCCTTTCTGCGTCTTTGCATAAAGATGCGACTGCGCATCCTCGTCACGTGACGTTGCCACACGGGTCACGTGACTTTTGAATTCCGACGCTCGGAACGACCGCGAACGTCTACGTGAGTTATTTGTAAAATTAAATGCCCTGGATCTTAAATTACCGTCTTTTTGAAGAACCAAATGTGATTTAACTTACAGAGGAAAACGTTATCTGTATGGAAAATAATCAACTTTTCAAAAATAAAATTCGACACAATGCTCGATTGTTAAATTTTGCTCGAATTGTACCATAATCATAACGAAAGGATCGAAAGGTAAATAAAATTGATCATCGAGACTGCTTGACACTGTTTCTCGAATAAAAACATCGAAGCTGAAAGACAACCGGTTCTCTTTATTTGATATTTAACGTCGTACGTCGTTCGTAACTTCGAGTGGTTTTTCTTCGCGAGTCGCGGACGCATTGAAGAAACAAATCCTTGAAAAATCGTTTCACAGATCCGACTGGTCAGATGTAAAAACGCCTAATGATAATAACGTTGCCAAACCTTGGACTGGTCCCATTTGGGGACAAACGGTCTTTCGAATGGAAACGATTTCTTCTTTCCTTATTTCGTCAAAGCAAAACTTCTAGAAGCGATTCGATCCTGAAGAAGGGCCTTGTCGAAGCGAGGACGTACTTTACGGCCAGTTGAAGTAGATAGTGTCCGTGGTCAGACGGCGTGAAAGGGTCATTAAAGAAGAGTACCTGTTACTCGAGCCAGTCCGCGAGCAAAGCGTCGAGAGATATTCCGTTAACACCTTTCGTCGTTTCAAAATTACATCGTCCTGTGAAATATTATATTTTTTAAACGAAATTTGAATTTTCGAAGGCATCGAAATTTATTTCGTTCGCGAACGACGTAAAATTCACGTTACAATCGATCAGACCCGCCCTCTATATTAATATTTGTCGTGATCATTTTTGTCCTCGTTGATTGCATCACACCTTGTTAACGAAATCACGGTGACAAGCATGTGGTGGAGAAATTTGCGCGCACAGGATTAAACAAAATCCACGTCGACCAGGTCCTGGAACTTAGTCATCCAGTTAGGACTTCTACGATTAAAAGGAATAATTAATACTGAATTTTGTAATGGGATTTACAGATTCAAAATTTTATTGACATTAATGTCTCGTATACAGGAGTTGCCATACCGAATATCGTGATTCTATTATATAATAAAATAGAGCTGAACATGTGCATACATACACAAACCCATACGTACAGAATGGTGTAACCTGTTTCATTTTTCATATAAAAAATTTAGTAGTATCACTTTTACATTTGTTGAAGTCAGTATGCCAAATTTTACGATCTTTTGATAAATCAATTCTGAGATATAAAATCAAACAGAGCCCAACAAACTTATACGTGCAGAATTTTATAACCAGTTTTTTTGCATTTTCTTAACCGAGGGCAACTTAAAAGATGAAAAAATAATAAAATCCATTGCAGGTGGTTTAAATTGTTACCAATTTTAATTATTCCTCGAATCAACCTACGGTTGCTGATGCTTGTACTGTTTTTATTCAGAGGGATACAATTTCTGGTAATTGGAAAGTTTGATAATTTCGTTACACATTTTATTTCGCGCCAGGTTGCCTAATCGCGATGCAATGTTCCTGTTTCACTGACCAATACTTTTCACGCGACGGCGTTCAAGAGAAGTGAAAGCACTTCGCGAACGAGCCCCGTTATTTCCCTTCCGATTCTAAAAGAAGCTTTAACTACGCGAAGCACGCGCTGCCTCGGACCTGGAAGAGGCCCAGAACTCGTCTCTGTTACGATTCTAACAGCCGTGAAACCGTGAAAGGTTGGCTCGTGACCGTAATGCCAACGCGAGACGGGATACCTCGGTAATGCTCTAACACGGTTTACGCCCGTTCACCGCGTGTCATCGCGGCGACGTTTAATACGAGGTAGTCGAAATGGCAGAAAGGAACGATCGCGGAAAACGGCTACACACTCCCACGGTTTGGGGCGTGTCTAAGCGTTCGCCGCCAACTTCCGGTTCTGAGCGGCACCTGGCAGACCCAACGCTCTTCCAGGACCCCTTTCAGTGGACTCCAAGTGACTCACGCCGTGAGTAATCTGGATCAAAATTATATTTTCAATAAGAACACGATATCAAAAATGCTATTTATCTTTTTCAAATTAAAATTACGACGTAAAAAAAAAGCGAGTGCAACGACCATTCGGTGCAATTCGACCCGAAATTTCATTTTGACACATCGTTAATTTATTAATTTGGCATATTTCTATATTTCCACCATTGTGGGATATAGTATACGAAATATAGCATAGTGTAACGTTTCGTATCGGTTGTATAAGACACGCTTATCCATCGTGGTTCAAAGTACCCGTGGAGGACATCTGCATCGTTTTCACAGTTGTAAGGCATAG